AAAAGGTGAAAAAAATTAAGAAAAAATTATTCTTTTCATAAAATTGTGAAACATTATTATAAAAAATATGCTTATGGTACATTTTTAAGGAATAAAAACAATTAAATGAAAAGATTAATTACAAAATAGCTAGTATGATGATTTTTTTTACGCATTCATAAAAAAAGAATTCAAGGAAGGGGAAAAAAAGAAAACTCTTCAAAACTTACTGCCTCTTTAAAGAATATCCACTTCCGTAAATTTAAAAACTCAATGTCAAAAAATTCTACCGATTTCAATTTGAAATCTATTTTTGTAGTCATCCGAAACAACTGTCTAAATTTTAAATCGCATTTTTCTTAGAAACAAATAACTTATTTTACTTTGAAGTGACGTCATTTCGTGAAAAACTTTCTTCTGGTATCGACTTTCTTCGTTTCGAAATCCCTTTGATCTTTAAAACATAATCTTTCGATGCTTTCTTTTCATGTTATAGTTCGAATCTTAACTTCATGGCTGTCTGTGTTGAGCACTAAAGACGCTATAAAGGATTTTACCTCGTTGGGAAACTGTTGAATCTTTTATTTGTTTAGCATATCATTAAAACTAGGGTATATATTTTTAGCGTATGCGCTGAAGTTTTAGTCTTAAAATAAAATTTAACGTAATATAATGGCTTAGTATTCCTGAAACTTGCATTATAATGGCCGTATTATAATTGCTTGTGCTTTAATGACTAATAAATATATATAATTTGCATTATAATGAGAAGAACGTAATATAGTAGTAGTTCATATTATATTCAAATTGGATTTCGCTAAAGAATGCTGTTTTGCAAAGCAAAAAATACCGAATAAAATTACAGTAAAAAGTACCGGCACCCAGAGTGCCGTTACTTTTTACCGTAACATACAATTTTATAGGAACAAAGAAGATGATATATCGTAATTTTTACGGCATTAATTACCGTAAAATCACGCTCTATTAATCTGATCGCTGTGATAAAAATAAATATTACTGTATAATATTTTACTGCAAGAATGGATTTTGCGGATAATGCACCCGAAGTGCCGATATTTCCTACCATAATATGATCCAGAATTTTTCATAATTTAAAATTTTTCAAGTTTAAGGAGAAAAAAAATTCTTTTTTAAGAAGGCAATGTCTTTGATGTGGCGAGAAAAAACTATATACAGATCTGTGCTGATTCTCAATATGATGCATTCTCATAATTTTATAAAAAGGAAGTAAAAAATATGTTCATACGGAGTTACAAATTAATTTTCAAAGGAGATTTTTTTTCAAAAAAAATATGCGGTTCAAAGAACAGATACAAACATAATTTTTTTTTTATCTGATCTGGTTCTGGCGAATTTCATAGTTCTTATGCTCAAAACGTTTGTAAATAATCTAAATGCTTATTCGAATAAAAGGAAGTGTATAGTAAAATTCTCTGAAAATAATTTACCGTTTTATTCCTTTAATTTACTTTAAACGATTTATTTAGGTTAAAGTAATAGACTATAAAAAAAAAGTTGTTTCATTCAGGAAAAACATAGCTAGTTGCATTCGACACATTATTTGAATAACTCACTTTACATGCTGCTCCATTGATGCATTTCATTAACTGTTTTTTCGTGATTAGTTCTTAGAATTTAATCGAATTCTTTTAATTGAGATTAATGCATTTATAGAAGTGGATCTTTTATTTCGATGTACATGGGTAAGAAACCGTAAAATATTAGTCAAATTAGTGAGAGTTAAATAACTTTCAGTAATTTAAATTTTCTTTAATTTAAATTGCATTTACCCTGTTTAAAAGGAACTTATATAATAGTTTTAATTTTCATTCAATCGGGATGAAGCTTTCTTCGCACCTTCTTTCGATATATATATTTTTTAAAAGAATGTTTTTTTTATTCTATAATTGTTGATATGTTGTATATTAAGAACAAAAGTTTTTTTTTTTAAAGCAAGAATACAATTTACTCTTTTTAAAATCGTACTTACTATAACTTAAAAGTTTAATGTGTAGACATAGAGAGTGGAGTATGGTATGGAAAATAAAAAATAACTATTCAAGTTTAAAAATATTAAGAAATAAACAAAAAAGGTTAATAGTCGAATTGTATAATTGATATTTTCTTAGTAACTTGAATTTTGCTTCAGTTTTCAAAACGAAAAAACTAGGGGAGAGTAAAACTATTTTACTGATTGTTTTAGCATAAGTAGAAGAAAATAACCACGAACAAACACAAAATTCAAAAAATAAAAATAATAGATTATGAAATTAAAATGGATCAAAAAAACAAGTGGTATTTTTTGGTTAAGTTGGATAAGGAATGCCCTGAACTTAATAGAACAAGCTAGGTTAAAAGTAAAGGACTTCTGTAGAGAAAAACAATGTTAAATACTGTAGTTAATACTGTAAGTCAACCGTCTCTTGCATTTAATAGGTCAGCTATTTATTTTTTAATAATGTAGGATTTCAAGTATTTCAAGATTTAAATTTGTTAAATTAAAAATTATGCCAAATTAAAAAAAATATACAATTCACATTATATTAGTACAATCAGTTTTTACTCCACTCTTTTGGCCTAATCAGCTTTTGCACGTTTTCAGCATTTTTCAAATATATTTAGTATTAGGTATTTCGGTAAATACTTTAGAAATAAATAAGTGTTGATATGTTATTTTTTAAAATTTTAAGCTAGAACATATTATTAGTTTTATGCAGATTAAAGGTTACCAAAACAATTTATCGCTTATGTAAAAAACAGTGAAAATGTCTTTATAATAAAAAATTATTTTAAAAGTTAACTATTTTGATTTTAACGGAGTTTTTTTTTCTTTTTTTTTTTGCAAAATGGAATAAGTTTTTACCATTACATATTTTTTAGTCTATAATATATAGAAATACATGGATCTAGAATAAATGTCTTATTAAAGAAGGTAAAAATTATTATAAATTAGTTATTAATAGCATGGATTACATAACTAAACTTTAAAACTATTTATAGGCATCTTATAAAAATAATATTTCTTTAAAAAAAATTAAACTTCCAATCTTATTCAGATTTTTGATTTTATTCTTAATGTAATTACAAAATGTTTAGAAAAATGTAAAATATTATGTTATTCAATAAAAAATGACAGCTGCTTTACATGTTGTTATAAATTAAATTTCTTAATTTTGTCAATTTTTAATCTTAATCTGCACAATATCTTAATATTCATCTGTTCTTTTAAGGTTTCTTTGAAAAAAAAACTTTTTAAACTTTTTTATCGAATAGTTAGTTAATTATATATGTTGCATTAAGTTATGAAAATAATTATTATGTAAAATAGCTGTATACACTGTTTATATACTGATAAGCACTATCTAACTATTTGTAGATTAAAAATATGCTTACATGTCTGCTTAGAAATAAAATATACTTAATTTAAATTTGTCAGTTTAAAAACAAAAAATATTGCTTGCCAAACATTGTGCATATTATATTTGTCTATTTAGATATCATTAACACTGACTTAACTGAAAATTAAAAATTTTTAAGACCAATAATTCTAACTAAACTTTTTAATTATTACAACAGTGCTCAAATTGCCAACTTAATTTTTAAATTTAACAATACTGCCCAAATTGTTAATTCACATTTTAAATTGAACATTACTGACGCGTTCATGGCAATTTAATTTTTAAGTTTAACAATGTATAGCTTTAATGTTCTAAAGTAGCAATTTTTTAAAGCTTAAAAGAAAAAGCTCACTGAAAGGTTTTACGTACAATGGTGGTAAATGGTATGTAATTAGTAGGTGTTTTTTATAGCCATAGTATGTGTGAAAGAACAAAAATATAAAAATAATCGAAGGTATTTTTTATCTATAACTTATATTTAATTTATTTACTAACAACACCCATATTGTATGCTTGTATTTGAAGCTTTGAAAAGTGATTGTATATTGAATTCACATTAATTTTAAACTACAGACAAGAAGTCAGCAATTAAGCTTATGTAGTTGGAAATTTCGTACTTCAGAAGGTGTAATATCGAGAACCAGAACTACTGGTGCTATCGATGTGATTAGTTTTTAATTGTTATGTTTTTATTTGAGGGATTTCAAATGCTTGAGTTTAGTTAAATACTATATTTTAGAGATACAGAAAGACGATTGTAAACTAGTTTACTTTTTTTTCAAATTAAAACTTAAAATTCTGATGCTAAAAATTCTTCTCCAGGCGTTTATGTGTTTAATTAAATATGGTTAATGGACAAATTATGAATGTTTCGGTTACATAGTTTAGTGATAAATCTCATTTCTTATTCAAGAAGACGAGTCAATATAAGCAAACTCTCACTTGATACAGATGTTTCTTCGTCTAAGTCAACCAACACATAATTAGGAAAAAACCAGGAAAGTAGACCAAACTTTTATTACCCAAAATTACAAGATCTTTTCTCAGTTTCTTGACCATTTTTATTAACTCAATAATCAGAAGAACAACTTTGTAAACAAGCCTACTTTTTTTTAAATAAAACCTTATAATTCTTGACTTTTTTATTAATATGCAGACATTTGTGTTCTTAATTAGATATGGTTTATGGACAAATTACGAATGTATCGGTTACGTAGTTTAGTGGTGAACCTAACTTCTTACTCTCAGGGCGAGTCAATATTAACCAACTCTCTCCAACTCTTCGTCTAAGTCAATCAATATCCTTCCCGTTAGGAAAGATCCAGGAAAGTAAAGCAATTTTTTTAATTTAGAATTATAAGATACTTTCTCAGTTTCTTGAACCTTTTTTTTAACTCAGTAAACAAAAGAACAACTTTGTAAACAAGTTTACATTTTTCTAAATTAAAACTTAAAATTCGCATTTTTTTTATATGCAGTAATTTACGTGTTTAATTAGATATAGTTTCTGGATTAATTACAAATGTTTGTTTCAATTTCACAGTTTAGTGAGGAACCTAATTTCTTGTTCAGGAAGGCGAGTCAATATAAACAAACTCTCACCTGTAACAGCTGTGTCTTCGTCTAAGTCGACCAACACCCGTCCCGTTAGGAAAGATCCAGGAAAGTAGAGCAAACTTTCATTATCCAGAATTATAAGAAACTTTCTCAGTTTCTTAGCCATTTTTTAACTCAATAAACAAAAGAACAACTTAGTAAGAATTTTTAAAAAATCAACAGTACAGCATAAACACTTCCATCAGCACGACATTTGCTTCAAACTTTCTTAGAAAGTGGAGAAAACGGACAGGTAAGGTAAAAAGTCTAGAATGATTGTAGGTGGGCGCAATCTTTCCTCATACGACCTCGACAACAACCGGTTTTTTGAGACGTGACGTCAGATGAATTAGTTATATTCATTTTCGATTTTGGGCAGAGTAAAGAGTTCTGCCTACTAACCCGTGACGTAATTGTCACCTTGCGTTTCTCTTAAGCTTCCAGCAATTTATGATTTTTTGATAATGAGTCTACATAACGGTACTTCACTTATTTAAGCGAAATGGAGGAGCTGGCCGATGGGTCAGTCTTTACGGTTGAATGCTTATATAATGAGCACGTCTAACCTTTTATTTATTTTTGTTTATCGTTATTTTTTTCTCTTTTAATGTTCTATTCTTGGAATAACAGATGCAGCATTGCATGTATAATTTCCTTCAATGTAAGAAAAATTTAACTCGCTTTATTAGTACATTTTCATAAGATATATTGTCAAATTTACTTATTTCAATAGAGCACAGTTTGTTTCATATACGTTTATTTTTTTAAAAAAATATATCGTTTTACATAAATATCTCTATTATACAGTAATGATGCATAAATATCTCAGGAACAATTAAGAAAAAGTGTACATTATTATCCATATACGCATGGTAAAGATAATGTAAAAAATCATTTAAAGAGCAGAATTATGGTCATTATGATATAGAACATAATCTTTCATTGATATGGAACATAATATTTACATTATAATGTCATAAATCTTCGTCAATTATTTAAAAAAAATGTATGCTTTTATCTCGATTCGAAATCGATAGTAAATGAAGAAAAAAAAAATTTTTCCTCTTTTTTTTAAACTTTAAAATACTTTTTACTATTACAGTTCCGAATTCTCCTTTCTATTTTCATTTCATTTTGGAACGTCAAATATTATAAAGTTTCTAAAATAAAACTAAATGAAATTTGGAAATATCTATTACTAAGAATGATTGAAATTAAGGAAGTATGAAAATTTAAGAACTATGAAACTATAAACAAATTAAACTATGGATATTTTTACTCAAAGTACAAGAGAAATTGTTAATATTAAACCTTACGAATTTTCGCTTTGAAAGACTGACTCATTGTACAGTGTGTCAATAAAAAGAACCACCTTGAATAACTTTTTATCTAATGATCGTATCTTTACGTTCTATTACTCAATCTTAATTCTCAAGGGGATAAGCTCAAATATGCTTTTAAATTATGATTGGTAAGATTGAGTCCTAGAACGTTAAGATACTATTATTAGATCAAACTTTATTTAGGGTGGTGTATTTTTTTGGAGCACTGTATATCTTAATGTTGATAAATAAATTTAGACATTGTTTTTTTTTCTTCTGCAAAACAAAAAGTACAAAAGTATAAATCGTTTTAAATAAATAAAGGTAAGTTTGAAAAGTTTAAAAAAATATTTTCCAAATCCTCTGCTAAAAGTTAAAATGAGAGTGCGATTCTCTTCTTCAGCTGTATGTATAATCTTGATCTTCCTGTTTTACGTATAATCCTGTTCTCGATGTATAATTTTGATATCTAATATTTTTATCATTTACATAAATTATTTGCCTTTTTCTTTTAAATGTGCTAAATTGGGCATTGTGGATTTTGTCTTCGTCTTTATTATGAAATACAGCCTTTGGAACTAGTCAAAAGGCTATTTAACCACTAAAATTTAAGGCTATTTAACCACTGAATTTTCTCCTAGTGTTTGAACATCCTTTTCTCCTAGTCATTAAACATAGAGCTAGCAGTAGAAAATTATTAAATAATTAATTATAATATGTGGAGGAATTGTCTGTATGGAGAAATTATTGCAGCATTTCAAACAGATATCCATTACCATAAAATAATTACCATAAAATATGACTTAGTAATTTTTTTCTAAAACGAAGTTAATAATTACAATTTTAAGTTCATGCAATGATTTATTAAATTTATGCAATTAAGCACCTTCAGGACTGTGATCACATAAACGTGATTGAATGATTTTCCTGTCATGGCCCACGGTATCATATATAAAACGAGCCTTTCTAACTCTAGCAGCCCAAGATCATACGAGCGTGATCTCAACAGGATACTGTCGTATTGAATCTTGTATTATTTATTACATATACATACTCCTTAGTTGGTATAAACTAGGACGGTATGGACCTGGGAAAAATTTTCTTTCTTGAAAAGGTAAAAGTGCCTACATTACTTACTTAAAAAAAATTTATAAAATTTCCTATTGTACAAAATGTGATTAAGTGTAACAAGCCATTATTGTGAATATTTTCATCTCTAATGTTACAAACGGTAAAAACTTTCTGAGGAAGATAAAGACTAGGCAATCTATCATCTCCTGAGGAAGGTAAGATAAATACTAATGCTAAAATTTGAAAATTCCTCTAGAATTAATTAACTTCTTTACAACTTTCTTGCTGCATTGAAGCAGCATTGTTTCTTGCATAAAAAAAGATTTAATTTTTATATTGAAGTGCAAATTCATTTACTTTGATATTATAATTACATTTTATTATAATAAATTAAGAGTAATTATTTTGTAGAAAGGTTAAACTGGAAATTGGTAAGAAAGGGATAAGCGAGTTTGGCACAAAGCTAACACCGATTTTGTTAAATAAATGCATGGTCATTAAAAAACAGCAACATAAAAGTCGGCAACACTATGAATGCGTCATTTTATAAAAGCGCAAATGTTTTCTCCGAGCAAAAGGATATGATAATTGTAGAAGGTGTTAAAAATCTTTTTAATTCTCTAAAAAGATTTACTTGATGACGCAGTGTTATATATGCAATTATAACACAAATATGTATTTGCAGGCATAAGCTAGGCTATATTTCTTTAGATTTATACCAGAATTATCATATTCAACTGTAATTGGCGTTTTTAATAACATTTCCGGAGGAGACAGATGAAATTCGCTAGATGCTGCAAAGCCATCCAACACGATGAAATGATACTTCTAACAAAGACAGTACTATAAGATCAAGTTTTTAAATTTAGGCATTGTACTATTTTAGGCAATATAACATTTTCGTTTTTACTCATTTGTCTTTTTCTCAAATTTTTAAATCACCCCATTTGGATAAAATAATTTTTTTACTCCAACATTTTGCGGTGAATTCAATTTTAATTTCTCAGATTTATTTTCTAAATAAATAATTAACAAATTTTCATTGCAAAGTTTTAAAATCCTATAATCATAATGATAAAAACCGGATATGTGTGTACGTTTTAATATTTTAACGATCATTTTTATTTTAAGATTCATACAGTAATTTAGCAAGGATTAATGTTACTTAACAAAAGCATAATATTTTATTTTTTATCGTAGCTTTATTCCACATATTAAAAGATTATTATTTAACAAAAAACTTTAGATGGAAGTTTATTTTTAATTCCTAGAGGAGTAACTCAAAACTAAGATACTAAGCAAAGCTTATTGCGCAAAAAAATTATCAAACAAAGCTTAAAAAAAAAAAAGATATTAAACAGTGTTTGATGAAGCCTCATCCCAAATAAGTAATGAAAAATATATACGTACTATATTTATAAAAAGCTTAGAAGTCAGAAAAGCAATTATAAATAGAATTTTTTTTAATAGTTTAAAGCTGTTTTATTAACAATTAAAAATAAATATGTCGTTTGAGTAGGCTTGCTACAAAAGAATATCTATCTATTTCTCTCTCTCTCTCTCTNTATAAATATATATATGTTCGAAATGAAGATAAAACGAAGGAAAATTACAGACATATGAAAAAAAGGGGAAAAGGAAAAATAATAATAAAAATAACAAAAAACTGGGGGAAAAAATAATTAAAAAATCCGGAAGAAAAAGGATACATTTTTTTAAAAAAATACGGAAAATAAAGGATATAATCTTTTCAACAGCGATTCTTATATTTCTTTATGCATTAATATTTTGAAGCTAATTGGGATAAATATTTTAATTCCACAGAAACCATTATCATACTTTTACTTACACAGCATGCTATACTTATGAGGTTATGTCTACAAGCAATATTTTCAAAAACAAATCATTAATAATGGTTTCTTGAAAATACAGCATGTATAAAGATATGTTGCCGGAAGAATCAACAAAGCAACCCATTCCAATTAAATATCAAGATATATTGCATTTTAAACAAGCTATTGTCATTAAAAGTAACGCAAAGTAAATTGGGAATTTAAGACAATTTTCTAACAAATATCTGAACCTTAAACAAGTAGAAAATAACTAAATACTAAACATAGGGAACTATTATGAACCGATGAATTTAAGATGTAATTAAAATCTTTTAGCAGTATTTATTGAAATGATATTGTACCTTCTAATTAAAAGCTCGAAGCTCTTCTACTTAAAAACATCTTAAGAATGTACTAAACAACTGCTAATTTTAAGAACTTGCTCATATTTATGTGAAAGCGTTATTTAAATAACATTTCCTAGAAGCAATTATAAATCTATTCAAAAATATTTATGAAATCTATAAAATTTCCTTTATGAATGTATTCTTCTTAGATCAATAATGCATTATATGTATCGAATTGTTTTAAAAAAGTGCGCGAATTATACAAGTAGTTTAAATGGAGCAAAGGGAAAAGTAATTTTTTCAGAAAAGGGTAATTTGAAGATTTAAGTCTATTGTTATTTAATTGAGTTCGTAGATTGAGTTCATTTTAGATTATCAATTATAAGAATTTTGTGCTCTGTTTTGCATGCACTAGATAAATTTAGTGGCAATAGCCACTATATATTCTTGCGATTCACGGATATTCTTGCAATTATTATTATATGATTTAAATAGATTAAGGTCAGTAACTGGAAGCGTACTTTTTTTTAAAAAAATTTAAAAATTTATTGATTATAGGAACCATGAAGTTGACTTCGCCAAAGCATACACTGCGAAAAGGTTTAGTGAATCTCAAGACCAAAAATGGTGGCAACTACAATAAAAGAAGTATGGTCAAAACTACCAGATTATGGTAAAACTAACTAAGGTTCTGGCTATATGGGAACTCCACAAAGTTCTCTA